TCGAGAAGGTTCTCGAATCTGATCCAATATCTTCAAATTCGGCTCATCTTCCAATAAGTGTTTCACGGGTAGGAATTATGTTTGTCATTCATTGTGAACTCTCAGACATCCGAAAGCAGGCAGCTGAATGAACAGATACGATGATTTTTAGCTCACAAATCAATTCATAAGGATTTTTGTGATTACAAGAAAAAATTGAATTTCATAACACTGTCATGACAGCTGTTGACTTTTTTCGATTGTTTTGTGAAGTAAAACGTTTTTAGCATTTCCTAGATGCTAGAGCACCGACGAATTCTGCAGTACTTTTCATCTGANCTTTTTGCGATTGTTTTGTGAAGTGAAACGTTTTTTGCGTTTCCTAGATGCTAGAGCACCGACGAATTCTGCAGTACTTTTCATCTGGAATTGCACAAATAAGCCGGAAGAGCGAAATAACATTAGCAAATGTTTGACTTTTTTGTTGAAATTAATACGAGCGAATATTTTCTGTTCAATTTGGTTGTCACAGTTTGTGGGGATTTCAACGAAAGCAGTCAATTTGAGTTTCAGAGTTGGCATAAAATGTCTGGAAAATGGCGTTCGGATCGATGCTCGATCACATCGATCAGTACGGATCAGTGTTCTCAGCAAACAATTTTGATCGCTATTCTCAAACTGATCACAACACAACCAACGCTGCTGATACGTCAGAGAGTAATCGTTTATGAATCGAGCAAATACTGAGAACTTAAAGGGATCACTGAATTAAATCACGCCTATAAACTGTATCAATTGATTTGTTTAGCAAAGCGAAGAGGATGACTGTATCGAAGGAGTTGTGTCCTGTTTGGTGCTGCTCATCGACCATCCACTCGTGCAAACCTACTGTATGCAAGCGTTACTCTCTCTACATTCCGTGATTCCACAGTGGAGTTCTCAATCACCTGAAAGAGCGCTACGTACATTCTTTTCAGTCAGGTGATCGATCGTTTGGCCTAATGAATATGACTTTGATGAATCAGAATCACTTTACTGGAAGTGGAAAAGTCCAGCAGTAGTGCCGTGGCATTCTGTCCTGTTGCAACTTTTGCATGAAATCATTTGCTACCGATTCATATATTCTTTACTTCCTTACAATTAGTGCGTTCAAAATTTCGCGAGGAAATCATATGGAACGTTTAAAAACCACAAACTCAGACTACTAGAAATTTTATCAAAATTCAAATGACAAAATCAAAAATGGAATAAAATCCGAAATGTCAGAAGTGATTTTGATATAAAAATTTCAGTTCCCATATGCTATTCTCGGTGTGTCAGAAACTCATTCACTTTCAAATTAGCAACGCTGAAAATGTCATCACATGGTTAAAAGCAATCATGGAACGACGTATCGCTTACATGCGTAGCAATTCGGCAATGATCACTGAACAGATTATCGATACGACCATGACTGCGCAGTCATTTGTCAAATTTGAGGTTA